GGGCAGCAGCGGGGGCCAAGCAGGGTCTCAGCGTGGACAAGGACCAGTGGTGAAGGGTGCCGGGGCAACGCTGCGCCGCCGGACGGGTGCAGAGCCGTGGGGACGTGGGGCGCCGGAGCAGCACCCAGCTCTCCTGGGCACCCCATCTCCCTGCCCCTGCTCTGCACCGTCACTGATGCCCGCTGCTCCCGGTAGGTCTCCAAAAAACTGACGGTCATCGTGGAGGACCGTAACGACAATGCCCCCATCTTCCAGAACCTGCCGTATGAAACCACCGTTGCGGAGGTAGCTTCCCACAGGGAGGAGGGCAGGCGTGCGGGGCTGGCACCGGTGGCATGGGTGTGCCGGAAGCAGGGTGACTGCGAACCTGGGAGGGGGTGACTGCGCACCGGGGAAGGCTGGATCTTGGAGCAGCACGTGCCAGGGCTGTTCCTGGGTGGGTGCCTCCGTGCCAGGCCTGGGCGCTGGGGAGGGCTGGGAGTCTGCCCTTGCCATGAGTCGATCAGGGAGTGCCTGAGCCACCTCTCCACCCAGGCTGGGGTGAGGCCGGTTCGGGGTGCAGACAGGCTATGGGTCTGAGCCTGACCCTCCCCGATGGTCACAGCCCTGGCTCCTGGGAAGCCCCACAGAAGGTGAGGGGGAACCTAGATCTGGCCCCCCGCTCGGCGTGAGCAGGGACAGCAGCTCAGCCCTGTGCAGCCCACAACACCAAGCAGTCCCACAGGGCCGAGGCACCCCAGGCTAGGGCTGGCGGGGTCAGGCTCAGTGCCACCTCCCCTGCCCTCCTGGGCGATGCCACCACTGCTTGCCTTGTGTCTCCAGAACATGACAGCCGACAGCATCATCTACACGGTGTCAGCCAACGACAGCGACACTGGGAACGCCTCCAAAGTCAGCTATAGCATTGAGGAGGTGAGCTCTGGGGTGCCCCGGGCATTGCCCTGGCTGCGGGCTCCAGTATGCTGTGGTTGGGGAGGGGGGCAAGAGGATGCTAGCGGCCCTAGGGAGCTGCTGGCCCCCTCCCTAGCAAGCTCTCTGCCCCCACGCAAAGAACCTGGCTTGTCTTGACCATGTGGGCCATGGCAAGCCCTGGCATCTGCCCCCACCCCGTTCAGCCTGCCTGCTCCCAGGCACTGAGAGGGTCTATGCCCGCTAGAGAGCAGCAGTGCGTCATGCAGCTGGGCACACCATACCCGAAACCCACCCATAAGCCACCTCCATGGGGCAGAGGCACTGGGCGACCTGGCCAGGGGCAGCCACACAGCCCTGGGGAGCAGGAGTACATATTGAGCCAGGAAGGCTGGCTCTGCACCCCCTGAGGAATGAGTGCAACATGCCAGCTCCTGCAATGGGGTTGCGAGCTGGGAACAACCCAGGCAGTGAATGTCCCCATGGCCCATGGGCTTCCTGTGGCCAAGTCTGGCAGAAGGGTGGGGGTTGTGCCCCAATCTCTGCTCGGGCACCTCTGCTCCGTGCCTTGGTGACAAAGGGTGCCATCCCCTGCCCAGGTGATCCCGGACAACACGAAGAATCATTGGCTCTTCTACATCCTGCCCAACGGGAGCGTGGTGCTCAATGGCTCGCTGGACTATGCCTTGAACACCTTTTACCAGATCAAGATCGTCGCCAAGGTGGGGGCTGGCCAGGCTGGGGGTGTCGGGCTGGCAGGAAAAGGTGCTGCGGGGCTGACGGGCGCTCTGCTCCCCAGGATGGCGGGGGGCTGCTGCACGGGGTGCTGACCTTCCAGCAGAGCACGACCTACTTGTCTGTGACTGTCCGTGACTTGCCCAACCTCAACCCGTGGTTCCTCAATGAGCCTTACTCCGGCTCTGTGCCGGAGAACTGCCCTCTGGTAAGGAGCCTACCCACCCCGATGGTCTGCCCCTGCCACAGCCCGTCCCCGGGACTCTAACAGTCAGGGGTTTCTGAGCTGCCAGGCATGGCATGAGGTAGAGACATCTTGGGTCCTGCCCTCATGGCTGTGTCCTGGCAGGGCACCACCGTGCTGACCATCACCGCTATTGACAGAGACACAGGAGTGAATGATGAAATCTCCTACAGCATCACCAGTGAGTGAGGTGTGGGACAGGATGGGATGGGCACGGGCAGGTGACCAGGCGGTGAGGGGCATCGTGGGGACTGGTGGCTCATGGGAATCACTAGCCTGCCCCACTGGCAGAGAGAGGGCTAGACCTCTGTTTCCCAGTGGCTGTGGCTGCTTCCCACTGTCCCCTTCCCTAGATGCCAGCATCCCTTTTGCTATCAATGCCATGACGGGCACTATCACTGTGACTGGCTCCCTGGACCGGGAGCAGCTCCCAAACGAAGTGCTGCTGCTGGAAGTCACGGTGAGTAGGAGGCAGTGAGGGGACCCCCATCCTCTTCCTCCCCTCGGGACCGTCTGACCCTCTCTCCCCTCCTGTGCAGGCACGCGAGAAGAACCTGGACATCTATGGCAATGTGGCCGAGACCAGCACGCAGGTGACGGTCACCGTGACTGATATCAACGACAACAAGCCTCAGTTCTACCTCTGCTCCCTCTCCAGCTGCAACTTCTCTGCTGATGCCCAGAGCAACTTCACGGGCAGCATCGTGGAGCACACCTCCTCCAACGTGGCTGTGTCTGGACTCGATATCGTCACACATGACCCTGACAAGGTTGGGAGCCCATCCTTGGGGCTGGGCTGGGTACAGGGGCTCTGGGGCGCTCAGCCACCCACCCTCGCTCTTGCACATCTCTCTCTGGCAGGGCGTCAATAGCAGTTTTGAGCTGTACCTGCAAGGTCCGAATGCCAGCGCCTTCTTTGTCTCCCCCAAGAAGATTGTGGGCACGGGGGAAGTCCAGATCCTGGTGCAAGATTCACTGTCTGTGGACTACGAAATAAGCCATGTCATGGTGGTGGAGGTGGGACCTGCAGGGCTGGCTCACCATGGGGGACAGCCCCGTCTCCCTGCACATGCTGGGGCACAGCGGGGACATGACTCTTCCCGGGCAGGGTTCAGAGGCAAAGGCAGAATGTAACTCTTTGCCTGGGAGCTTGTTCGGTTCGAGGGAGCTGGGCCAAACTGTAATGGGTCTCTTTTCTGTCCTTTGGGACCCGTACGTGACACCGTCTCTTCTCCCTGCTGCAGATCGTTGCTAATGACACAGGGAACCCCACAGACTGCTGCTCCATGGCCACTGTGACCATCAACCTCATCGACAGCAACGACCACATCCCCGAGTTCCCCCAGACTGTTTACAGCCTAAGCGTGGTGGAGAACAGTGTCGCCGGCACCATCATCTCCCCAGGCATCAGGGTCAGGTGCCGGGGAGGGAACAGGCGCTGTTCATGTCCCCCATGCTGTGCCTGCCGCTGCAGCTCACTGGCATGGGCACAGCTAGGTTTGCACAGGGGCACTGATTTCGTCGTGCACATGGGAAAGAGATAGTGCCAGCAAGCACACAGAAAGCGGGTCCCAGTGTCTATTTTTGGGGTGCCAGCTCCCAGCAGCAGGTACCCCTCTGGTGCCCTGGATTAATCACTGCCCTGGGGGCTGAGTCAGATTCACCTGACATTTCCCTCTCTCGATTTTAGGCCTATGATCCAGATAGCGGTATCCTGGGCCAGATCACCTACCAGCTCTTCCCAGAGAGTGTGTACGTAGGGGCATAGCCACCTGCAACCAGGTGTCAGCCTGGTGAGGGGGCTGTGGGGCAGCAGCTGCCTCCAGCTCTGAGCCCCAGTAACAGGCCTGTGTGTGCCGCAGCCGGGAAGTCTTCATGGTGAACGCCACAAACGGGGCCGTGCTGGTGCGCAACGGGAGCTGGCTGGACCGCGAGACTCGCTCCCTCTATTATGCCAACCTCCAGGCCAAAGATGGGGGCAACCTGACAGGGTCCACACTGCTGGAGATCACTGTGCTGGATGCCAATGACAACCCCCCCGTCGTCACCGGCTCCTACTTCATCTCCGTGAACGAGGGGCAGAACGTCAGCGTGCAGATCCTGGTATGTGCAGCCTGAGGTGGAGGGGATGACCTGGTGACTGTTGGAGAGGAGGCAGGGCCTCTCCTGGAGGTGCCCCCCGGCCTTCCTGTCATCTCTTTTCAGGCCATAGACAACGATGAGCCTGGCACCCCCAACAGCGAGTTGCACTTCAAGATCTTGCCAGGGCCATTCAGTGCCAACTTCACCATTGATGCGGTCACGGGTGAGATGCACAATGAGGGACTCCTGGACCGCGAGGCTTTGGATGATGACCGTGGGCGGATGGTGGTGACGGTGGAGGTGCACGACCTGGGCACGCCACAGCTCAGCACCTCTGTCAACGTCACCATCACTGTGGGGGTGAGCCCTGGGCACTGGCAAGGAAATGCTGGGGCAGGCGTGGGCTAGTGGCTGTGATCAAGCTAATGCACGGACAAGGGAAGGCACGTGGGGTCCCTGGCCATAGCAAGGGCACCACGTCCTCAAGCTTTGTGTGGGGGCAGAGGGAATGGTTGATGCAGGGAGATAGGAAAAGGCTTTTGTGCCTCCTGCCTGCAGCGGGGCAGGGATCTGTGTTCCTGTCCCCCAGCCTGCTGAGGGACCTCCTGTCTCCAAGAGCAGCCGTGCCCATGGTCTTTATCTCCTGCAGGATGTGAACGACAACGCGCCCATGTTCCTCAACCAGTCCTATAAGTTCTCCGTCTTTGAAGGCTCTGCAGGTAGGAGCCACATGGCCAGGCCCGTGGGACGTATATGGGTCTGGGGTTGGTGCCTGCTGGCCATGAAACGAGTGTCTGTCTCTGTCTGCAGGGTCCTTCGTGGGCAACGTGGAGGCCACAGATGCTGACAAGACGGACATCAATTCCCGCATTTCTTTCCTGCTTCAGAGCAGCAAGGGCTCCAGCAACTTTCTGATCCGCTCTTCCCGCCTGGGGCCAGGGAAACACAGCGGACAGCTGTCCCTGGACCCCGATGTGTCCCTGGACTACGAGAGCTTGCAGCAGAAGTTCTTCTCCCTGGTGGTACTTGCAGAGAATACAGCGGCAGACAGCCTGGGGGACACCGCCAATGTCTCAGTAGTGGTCTACGTCCTAGACGTCAATGATGAGCCCCCCACCATCCTGCCAACCTTGCCACAGGACGTGAGCGTGAGCGAGAATGGCACGCAGGAGGGCCTGGTCTGCACCGTGGTCGGCTCCGACCCGGACACCAACCACTTGCTGGTCTTCGAAGAGCTGGGAGTCACCTGCTTCAAAGGGGCGATCAGTGCTGGGGAGGTGTGCAGGGACTGGTTTGTGCTGGCACCCAATGGCTCGGTGCTGGTGAACAGCTCGGACATTGACTACGAGCTGTGCGATGTGGTGGTGCTCATGCTGCGGGCTGAAGACGTGTACACCGAGAAGGGCAACCGCTATAGCCAGAATGGTACAGCGCCCGCACCCCTCTCCTCCCACTGTGGCCAGGGAACAGAGGGAGGTGGGACCTGCCTCTCCAGCCCCCCAGGAGGAGCCGTGAGGAGCAGGGAGGGAGCTGGCCAGTTTGGGGATGGAGGGAGGACATCCCTACCCCTTTTGGTCCCTGTGGCAGGGGCCTGAGCCTACTGGGAGGAAGGGGCTCCTATCCG